CTGGGGAGGGGCCGCCCAAGGCAGACCTCATGGCCTTCAGCCCCAGCCTGCCTCAGGGTCCCATTTCTACGGACACCGTGAGTCTCAAAACTCTTACAGCAATTTTTCGTCATGTCTTTAATATGAAATATTTAGTATTATCCTCTATCTTCTCTTTTTATTTTAAATTATCGCTTTATAAGTAATTATTGTATCCTTTTAGATATAAATTCTCTTGGTACTAATTCATTTACTTATAGTTACGCTTAAAATTTACTTTGAGAAAATTGTTTTGCACTATAGTGTTTATTTCAGTAACAATCCCCTTTTTATAAGGTTTTAAAAGTTTGAGTTAATGGACTAGTTTTCTGTGGACCATAGAAAGCATTTGCAGACTGAAATTTTTATTTGAACGTTTCAATTTTCAAATATTAGTGTTGTAGTAAGATACTTGTAAGATACATACTTGGCATTATTATTTATTGTCAAAGCCCCATGTTATAACTACATAGAAATATTTAACATCATCGTGTCAATTTGCCTTTTTTGTTCTCCATATACTATCCATTATTTGAGTATTTTTATTACACATATTGAATTAAGTTTTTCAGTAATATTTGTGCATTGAATGACTCTTTCAAGTCTGTTTAAATGGTTGGCCTTGGCATACTAATGGTGAATTTGATATTTATAATTAAAACTTTTTAGCTCTAGTGGCTTCATTTTATTCATTTTTGAATACAAAATACATTTACATGATTTTAAATGTTTTAAAATGTTTCCATTCTACCTCCAATATCAAACCACTTAATACACCTGCTGAATATTTCAAACTTTCCAATTTCTTGGCTATTCTTCTAGAGAATTTTTCATATACTAATAAACTCCCATCTCCCATTTTAAGACATAATATTTGTGTTGATTTTCCTTCCCCCTTCATTTAATATAATTTGTCTATCATGACATATTACTTAAGGAGTTTTTTCATTCTTTTTTCCAGCCCATGTTGTCCCATTTTGCAGATATGTCATAATTCCCCACCTCCAACATCAACATTTAGTGGAACAATGATTAGTTTTTCTCTATCTTACTTTTTATTTTCCAATACACAAATTATTATATTGGTGAGAAATAATCATGAATTCTCACAGTTGGGAAAATCTTAACATTTTTGAGTTAGAAAACGTTTGTATTTATTGTTGCCTTTTGTTTTTAGATTTTAAAAAACTGTACTATGATATAACCACCCCCCTGAGTTTGTTGTTTACCAATACCATTTTTACAACAAAGCCATACATTTTATCTACTATAGGCAAGAGTGCTCTCCATCTCAAACACAGAGAACTGTTTTTCTACACTTCTTTAAAAAACAATATTGGGTTTAGCCAGAAATAAATATTCCATATTTCATATGACAAAATGTCAATTCCCCTTTTTATTGCTTTCCTATTTCTTGCATTCTCACATGTATTTAATTTTATAAGTATACTTGTATCATACTATTTAAACATTTCTAATACCTCATTACTTTGGGGGAGTGCTATAAATGGAGAGGGCATTCTCACCACTGTGTAAATTTGTAGGTAACAGTTGTCAGCTTTTTAAAAATCAAGTTAAATAAATCAAGTTAATTTAGTTTTGAAATATAAACTTTTTATTTATAACTGAGAATTTTCTTTGCTGGGCGAGGAAGATGTTCACGGATTGATTAAACTTTTTTCTCACACAATCTTCTCCCTTGATTAGATGAACTGTTTGAGTAAATAAATAAACAAAAATATAAGATGTTTCTTATGAGGAGACCAGTATTTTCCTTTTCCAATGGAAAGGAAATTGCATATATGATTTCAGTAACATTGTATAATTTTCTACTTGGAGCAAATAAATAGAATTATTGCAACTGTTCCAGTTAATTGGACTATATTACCAACCTTCTGGAAATTGCTAGGAACTTCAATAGAAAGACAGATTTGATACTTCAATTAACTAACTTAAAAGTTGATATTCAAAGAGATTCTTCACGTAGGGCAGCAATTTATGAAATACCTTAACCGCTATAGAAAACCTTCAACTAACAAGACTGTAGGCCAATACATCTTTTTTTTTTTTTTTTTCCAGTACGCGGGCCTCTCACCGTTGTGGCCTCTCCCGCTGCGGAGCACAGGCTCCGGACGGGCAGGCCCAGCGGCTGTGGCTCACGGGCCCAGCCTTTCCGCCGCATGTGGGATCCTCCCGGACCGGGGCACGAACCCGTGTCCCCTGCAGTGGCAGGTGGACTCTCAACCACTGCACCACCAGGGAAGCCCCCAATATATCTTTTGTCAAGGTCTTTCTTCCTGTAAGCAAAGGAACCTTTTATTTGGGGGCTTATTATTGGTTGTCAAATGAACTCTTTGTTTACTCAAAATAAGTGTAATAGAAAGCGATAAGGACTACTACTTATCAGGATAGATCTAGGTTAGTTATTTTAAGATGTTGTCATGTAAGTTATGTAAAATGTTCTCATGTTGGGGGGTACTTTGTATTACAGTTGTCTGTGAGGATTTTACAAGTATATCAGAATTGTGCAGAAGGGTGAGTGTTGGCAAGTGTCCGTTTGAAAATTCTTTTTAATAACTTTCATTGTCTCCTTTTGAGAAAGAGTTTAATTACCTACAGTTGATGACATTAAGGATGAATTCATGGTAAGATGATATTTTGGCATGACTTTGATATGAGTGGAGAATTTTTACAGGTAAAGATGGAGGTAATTTTTTAAAAATTGAACAAAGGTTGTATTGCGGAAGAAGGAAAGCAAGTGATCTATGTTGTCTGCAAAATAGAATATTGGAGAGTAGTTGAAAATAACACTGGAAATGTTGGCTTGTGACCATATCTCAGGTCACATAGAAGTGATTCTAACATCTTGGGATTTATTTGTTTAGTGCAATCCAATAAAAGCTGTACCCATGAAGATAAATATGGTGGTATGTGAAAAGACAGATGGACAGATGGACTATAGGCCAACTTTGAATAGGGCAGGTAAGGGAGATGGAGTAATAAAAAATTGATATAGGTGACATGTAGAATGTTCATGCCATTAAATAAAAGGTGAATTTAAGGGTTTGAATTTGGGGGGTATTAATTATTTATCTTCATAATCTTTAAATTGTAATCAAATTATTTTCTAGGAGTCATCAGCATGTATGGCTAAAAATGACAATTATAACCATTGAAAAGGGGGAGGAAGATGTGAGTTTGGGAATACCTTCAATAGAAGTCTTGTCTGAAATGTTGGAAGGGGATGAGAACACAAATAAAAGCATATAAGAGGTTGAGGTAGAAAGAAAAGGATAAGGTCATTTAGGAGCAGCGGAAGGATCAGAGCGGCAAAGCACAATAGGTAGAAATTCCACAAGATGGAGAAGTATAAGTAGAAATTCCACAAGAAGGAAAATATTTTGAGGGGGAGGACTAATATAAGCTGCAGAGAAATTAAGAAATGTTGTAAAGAATATGTGCTAAAATTTTCAGCCTCCATTATTAAATTAAAAAACATTATTAAGAGTAGTTGATGTTCACTCAACAAAGAAAGAATGGACTTTGATTATAAGGTTTTTAAAATTTGGGTAAAACTTGCTAATTTAAAATTACACTCTTTTCTCAAAATATAATAGTATATTCTGTGACAGAAATACATGCACATGTTTCTTCTCTATGCAAATATGTAGGATAGTTTGCACTTCTAATTCCCAAGCCTGGTTCATATCACACTTAAGCTTTTTAAAATGGCTGACACAGTTTTTCCTTTATTGGGAGGAAAGTTGTTTCACTATGAGTATTTTGAACCCTTACACTACTCTAAACTAATAAAAGAAGACAGACGAGATAAACTGACCCTGCAAATTACAAACATGAGGAGATTTGCTATTAAAATAAGGCAAAACATATATATGTAATATAAATATCTATATCTTTAACTTCAAGAACTATAGCGTAGCTTCGTTGTGAAGTCATTACTTACCCTTTCGAGCCGCATGATGTCGCTGTCTACCGTGAAGTTACAGTAGCTGTTATTCAAGTCCATTGCTCCCGTTACTGCATCCTTCCACGAGTGTTGAATGATGGCAGGCGCAGAAGAACTGAATTAACAGACTCGGGATCATACAATATTTCATCTTAATGCCTAGACAAGATTTCCTGATGGAACTAAACCAGCAAGTATTTGAAATGCTTATTACACCTGAAGGCCGACTGAGATCCCGGTGTTTGCTTCTCTCGCTTCTGCTCCTTGCAGCCTGGGAGGCGGGGAGCGGTCAGGTCCGCTACTCCGTCCCAGAGGAGGCCAAACACGGCACCTTCGTGGGCCTCATCGCCCAGGACCTGGGGCTGGAGCTGACGGAGCTGGTGCCGCGCCTGTTCCGGGTGGCGTCCAAAGGCCGCGGGGACCTTCTGGAGGTAAATCTGCAGAATGGCATTTTGTTTGTGAATTCTCGGATCGACCGGGAGGAGCTGTGCGGGCGGAGCGTGGAGTGCAGCATCCACCTGGAGGTGATCGTGAACCGGCCGCTGCAGGTGTTCCATGTGGAGGTGGAGGTGAAGGACATTAACGACAACCCCCCTGTGTTCCCGGTAAAGGAACAAAGAGTGTTGATTTACGAATCTAGGCTGCCAGATTCGTTGTTTCCACTAGAGGGCGCGTCGGATGCAGATGTGGGCTCAAATTCTGTCTTAACCTACAAGCTCAGTTCCAACGAAAACTTCGCGTTAGATGTGAAAACAAACAGTGATGACAGTACACAAATTGGGCTCGTGTTAAGGAAATCGTTGGACAGAGAGGAAGCGCCCGAACATAACTTATTCCTCATGGCCACTGACCAAGGCAAACCTGAGCTCACTGCCACTGTTCAGCTGCTGGTCACCGTACTGGATGTGAATGACAATGCTCCCAGTTTTGGACAGTCAGAGTATGAAGCAAAAATATTTGAAAACTCAGATAACGGAACAATAGTTATGAGACTGAATGCTTCTGATAGGGATGAAGGAGCGAATGGGGAGTTTTCATATTCTTTTAATAGTCTTGTTCCATCCATGGTTAGTAACCAGTTTAGAATAGATCCAAATACTGGAGAAATAGTAATTCAAGGGAATTTAGATTTTGAAAATATAAATGTATACAAAATCCGTATTGATGCGACAGACAAAGGCCACCCACCCATGGCTGGTCATTGCACCATCTTGGTGAAAGTTTTGGATAAAAATGATAATGTCCCTCAGATTGCACTGACTTCCTTATCCTTGCCTGTCCGAGAGGACGCTCATTTCGGCACTGTCATTGCCCTAATTAGCGTGTCCGATCTCGACTCAGGTGCCAACGGGCAGGTGACCTGCTCTCTGACGCCCCATGTTCCCTTCAAACTGGTGTCCACCTTCAAGAATTACTATTCATTGGTTCTGGACAGCGCCTTGGATCGCGAGAGTGTGTCGAACTATGAGGTGGTGGTGACTGCGAGGGACGGGGGCTCGCCTTCCCTGTCGGCCACAGCCAGCGTGTCCGTGNCAGAGGCGGCAGCGGGTGTGCTCTGGGGAGGGGCCGCCCAAGGCAGATCTCATGGCCTTCAGCCCCAGTCTTACGCCGTGTCCACTACCAGACGTAGAAGGGGAAGAACAGTCTACTGGAGGCAACCACTCTAGCAAGGTGGGTTATTGCTTTTCAATTTTTATAGTTTGCTTCGTGAATATTTTATTTCACCGCTTTCCCCCTCAAATATGTATCTTGGAATACCTTCATTCTTTGTCTAAATATCATGTATTTATATAATTCCTCAAATATTCCTTAGTAATTCCATTTGTAATATAGTTTATTCTAAAAGTTCACTTTATATTCTATATACAGTACCTTGTGCATCAACTTTTGCTGAATACTTCAATTTTTAATATATGCCATTTTTCTCAATTCATTTATATTTTCCAATATAAATATTTGATGTCGGTTGAAGATTTTTATTTTTTTCATACACTATTTTTTATTTTACAAATATTTGTCAGATTAGTACTTTATAATTTTATTTAATTTTTAAATCTAAAAATTGAAATAACCTTGCTACAGTAACAAAAACCTGCTACAATCAATTTCCTTCACGATGAAAATGTGGTTTTTGCTCCCTAAGTACAGAATGTGTAGTGCAACATAACATAATGCATACTAGAGCTTCAGTGTTTACACTTTATTCTTTTTTTTTTGGTGGTACGCGGGCCTCTCACTGTTGTGGCCTCTCCCGTTGCGGAGCACAGGCTCCGGACGCGCAGGCTCAGCGGCCATGGCTCACGGGCCCAGCCGCTCCGCGGCATGTGGGATCCTCCCAGACCGGGGCACGAACCCGTGTTCCCTGCATTGGCAGGCGGACTCTCAAACAATGTGCCACCAGGGAAGCCCTACACTTTATTCTTAATAGTAGATTATGTAGACTGGAAGATTACCATTTTAAAAAGTCCTAATCTACGGAATTAAATTAAGTGTTTTGAATTTTAAATGTTTTTTTGAATTTTTATTTTAGTTTTTAACTTTTTTTTCTTTTTTACTGAGTTTAGTCGGATAATGTCTGCCACTGGCTCTGTTATTAACATAAATATTTTAAAAAACCTTTGTAGACAGTTTAATTCAATTCAGAATGACTGAAATTTTAGGATGAAACCATAAATTTTCCCAAATCAAGGATTGCTTTTAACATTCTTGACAAAAAAAGGAGTTAGCCCATTTCTTTTAAAACTTCTTATTTTTATAAACATATTTAACACGCTCTTTATTAGATGGCATTAAAATGAGACTAATCATGAATATTCCTTTGCTCTTGGCAGCATAGTATTTGTGATACCTTGTTTCAAGGTGAGAGGGACTTCCCTAGTGGTCCAGTGGTTAAAACTCTGCGCTTCCACTGTAGGGGGTGAGGAGTTCGATCCCAGATTGGGGAACTAAGATCCCACATGCTGCGTGGTGGGGGGGAAAAAAAAGAGTAATGAACCCATAGGTTTATTGGTATACTGTAGTAATTAGCTATATGATAGCCTTGGAACGTAGGAGCTTTAAAAACTATCTCTCATATGTACTTAATTAGTGAAGGAATTTTTTTTTTTTTTTTGCCCCGGATGCGCAGGCTCAGCGGCCATGGCTTGCGGGCCCAACCGCTGCGCAGCATGTGGGATCTTCCCGGACCGGGGCACGAACCCGAGTCCCCTGCATTGGCAGGCAGACTCTCAACCACTGTGCCACCAGGGAAGCCCTGAAGGAATTCTTAAAAGCAAAAATAGAATGGACCTACAGCATGGAGTCATTCCTAAAGGGAATGAAGTATTTCAATCAGCAAACATGAGGAGGTTTATTTCCTAGTCATGTCTTTTTCTCAAATTTAGCCACCCCCACGTGCTAAAATTTTTCCTTCTCTTCTTTAGGTAAATATGTTGGTCTTGAACTTATGGCTTCCACAATTAATAAAAGAACTAGCTGTAGTTAGAACTGTAAATCTTTGGCATAGATTTAATTATTGAATCACTATTTTAAAATGTGTTTAAAATAAAGACCGTAGCTATTACGTAAAATCTAAGATTTCCTTGGGTAAACATTTATAATTTTTTTTAGTAGGGAAATTCAGGATTAAAGTATTTTTCTAAGACAACACTGATAAACTTTAATGCAATCAATAATTATGCAAATTTCAGCATTTAAAAAAATTTGAGTAAAACAAGAAAATAAAATTGAGTGATTAAATGAGATTTAGAATACTCTTGATACCCTAATCTCCTTAAACCCATTCTGGAATAGAATGGGTATAAACAAAGTGACAAATATAACTTGGATTCCTCATCCGTGGGTTTTTTTTTGTGGGGGGTAGAAAGAAATTACTTTTACAAATAGCAATGAATATAATGCAAATTTACACTGTCCTTCAGGTTGGAAACTACAACATTCACCCTGAGCACATACAGTAATTGAAAAAAAAACTTTTAAATGAGACAAAGGTAAATATGTTTTGTATTTCCAGGAGTCAGTACTTGGTAAATTCATTAACATCGAAGCAAATATGTTTTCTGGACAAACTGATAAGTAGCTTGCGTATGAGCATGGGTTTGAAACAACCTCAGGTTGAGATGATAACTTAGAGAACTGGTATTTTGAGTTATCCTCTACACAATTGGACTAAATGTTTAGAATAATTTACATAGTATAAATATTAAGCAATAGAACATTATAGAGTGTTAGCAATGGAGTGAACTTAATAAGGAGCCATTCAAAAATGATCTATTTCTAAAAGTCTAAAAAACTGTATTGCTAATAACCTACATATATGGATTTTTTTCATGTTCAAATACATAACATAGCGCTCTAATACGTTCTCTTAGATACCCATATCCAAGATAAAACTCTTCTTGGACTTCTAATTTGTAAAACCGAACCACCTTTAAAGAGCTAGTGGTCACACACAAAGAATATATAATGAAAGAATTAAAATTACACACACACACACACACACACACACACAATGGACCAATATGAAGGAATCACGAAAGAAGCAATATAAGTGAAAGAAAGTACAAACGATAAACACACTTCCACTTTAAGCCACAGGATGTCGTTGTTCTCCAAGGAGAGGACTGTTTTAACCGAAAAAAAAAAAAAAATAATAACGATTATTCTCGCACCAGAAAGGCTCGCCACTGTTCCGGTGCTTTATAGACTATAAACACACCCATATTGTTAAGATCAGCTGGGATATCAGGAACAAAGACTCAGAAGGAAGGTCTCAAAAGGACTACATATTTCTACGCATGAAGTGTTTATTTACTAACCAGAAGCGAGTCACGATGTTAACTTCAGGACCAGAGAGGCAGGGAGCCTGGCTCCTGCTTCACTCGCTTCTGCTCCTCGCAGCATGGGAGACAGGGAGCAGCCAGGTCCATTATTCGGTCCCCGAGGAAGCCAAACACGGCAGCTTCGTGGGCCGCATCGCCCAGGACCTGGGGCTGGAGCTGGAGGAGCTGGTGCCGCGCCTGTTCCGGGTGGCGTCCAAAGGCCGCGGGGACCTTCTGGAGGTAAATCTGCAGAATGGCATTTTGTTTGTGAATTCTCGGATCGACCGGGAGGAGCTGTGCGGGCGGAGCGTGGAGTGCAACATCCACCTGGAGGTGATCGTGGACCGGCCGCTGCAGGTGTTCCATGTGGAGGTGGAAATAAAGGATATTAACGACAATCCGCCTGTATTCCCAGCGACACACAAAAATCTCTTTATTTCCGAAACTAGGCCTCTTGACTCTCATTTTTCACTAGAGGGCGCCTCCGATGCAGATATCGGGGCCAACGCTCTGCTGACTTACAGACTGAGCCCCAATGAGTATTTCTCTCTGGAAGTACCGACCAACGACGAGCAGGTAACACCGCTCGAACTAGTACTAAAAAAACCTTTAGACAGGGAAGTCACTTCAGAGCTTCTCTTGGTGCTCAAAGCAACGGATGGGGGCAAACCTGAGCTGACAGGCACTGTAGAGTTAAACATCACAGTGCTGGATGTAAATGACAACGCCCCAGTGTTTGACAAAGCAGTTTATCGTATAAAATTACTGGAAAATGCAAGAAACGGTACACTGGTTATTAGACTTAACGCCTCGGATTTGGACGAGGGTTCAAACGGCCACATTCTTTATTCCTTTGCAACTGATGTCTCTAATACAGAAGCCTCTTTTCGCATAGATTCAAACAGTGGAGAAATAAAAGTGAATGGAAAAATAGATTTTGAAGAAATTAAATTATGGAAACTTCAAATAGAAGCAGTTGACAAAGGAAACCCCCCAATGTTTGGTCACTGCACAATCTTGATAGAAGTCTTGGACATCAACGATAATGCCCCAGAGTTGCTAGTGACGTCACTGTTGCTCTCTATTCCAGAGGATGCTCCACCGGGGACTGTCATCGCTCTAATCAGTGTAACCGACCATGACGCCGGTGGCAATGCGCGGGTGACCTGCTCACTAACACCCCAAGTCCCCTTCAAACTGGTGTCCACCTTCAAGAATTACTATTCGCTAGTGCTGGACAGCGCCCTGGACCGAGAGGCAGTGTCGGAATATGCTCTAGTACTGATCGCGAGGGACGGGGGCTCGCCTTCTCTGTCGACCATGGCCAGCGTGTCCGTGGAGGTGGCCGACGTGAACGACAACGCGCCCGCGTTCGCGCAGCCCGAGTA